GGCATTTAACTGAAAATACATATAAAAATTTAGGATTTTTATTTGCTGTACATCTGATATAGAAATATAGCAAGGTCATTAGCAGCTGATTCCCCAATGTCACTCAAGAAAAAAGCCAACAAATATCTTTTCAACTACACAGAAAAAAGTGTAAGCTAAACATTTCACTGACATTATTTTGCTGTCTTTTCTCACTTTGGTAATTTCCAGTATGATGTACTAACTTATAACGTCCTATTGCAATATACAGTAGACTGAATGAAATGTGTTAATAAAAAGGGACACACACTATCTCTTTTTGAGAGAATAGTTACAGTGCCTTTCACAAACAAAAGGTTATTCATGTTGGTTTATTGAACCTCATGAGAAAAAAGTAGGCATCAAAATGAAATGTAACTTCTTTTGCCAAAAGTTTAAAACAACATATTTATAACAGAAAGTAGATTATTTCAATGTGAATTTTTGGACCATCTTCCATGATTGCCCATTTTACCCAACCCCACTGCTAAAAATACATTGCTTCATTATGTTAGCCTGTTTTGACATGACAACATGTTTGGTCAGGTCTACAGTGAAAAGGTACGCAAGTCTTATTCAATGAAGTGTCAGCAGCAAAAAGACTCTTAATTTTAAGTGCCACAATTACTTTATATCCTTGTATTTTAATACTTCAACTTTTTCGATTTTTTCATTGCTGAAGGAGTGATATCACAATCTCAAATCAAAGTCAACACTGCAGTGAGGAGAGCTTTTCTACTTTATTACAAAGAGAAGAAGCCTTTATGTGGTCAGAAAATACAAGATTGATCTTTTTTTTTTCTCTTCCTATGAAACGCTGCTGTTCAAACAGCCAGAGTGAATTGTCTCAGTTCACTTTGTTAAGTCCCATCACATTCACTTGGGTATGGATGTCCTTGGCTGCTGAAATCTGGCCCTTTAGTGCACAGGGCGACAAAGACGTCCCCTGACCAGCGGTTCCAGAATGTCCCGTTTTCATATATTGCATCCATGCACACCTCCTAAAAATGAGGTACAGCAGGGCAAACATTTTCCAAAATAGATGTCATATATATAATATATACACATTCGTACATACATACCTTTATTCATGTGATGTCCAAAAATTTAAAAAAAATGTACACATTTATTACAAAATCGTAACAAAGACTGGACAGTGTTTTGCTCATTCTGGAAAGATGAAGCTCAGTAACACACAACCTTGGAAATGAACCAAAGGCTGTGGCATTATCTTTCTTCTAAACAGTCAGATATTCTTGCATTAAGTTGGCGAAAACTGCCTTTTCGAAAACTGAAGGGGAAGTAAAATGAAGGAAGCAGACCTTGCTCATCTTTCCAAATGAAATACGAGAAGGATCTTCACATAAAAATGCACAAACATTTTTTTTTATTACCAAGAGTGCTACAATGAACAATGTAAATTTTATTGTCTATTTCTGCTTTTTTTCCTTTTTTATATTTTTTACACATTTTGGAAACTAAGTGGTAAACTTTTGTCAGTGTACTTGCTTGTCTTTACAGACCCAAGCTTGTCTGCTGGCAAAAAATTAAAATAAAAAGAAATCTGACCCTGCTCAAACTAAAGAAAAACAAATTATAAATTTAGTTGTTGGGCAGCACATAATTAGTAAGGCAGGAATTCAAATGGTGACCCTTTTGCATGAGCCAATTGCCAGATCCTCAAAAAGAATTAAAACCAGGATGCCTGAGCCACATCAGTTTTGCAGTTATGTTGAGTATTGTGCTGAGACAGCCATACCCCAAGACAAGGGAAGTCTTTAGAAGGCTTGCTGAGCAGGGTTGTAGTTGAAGGTGGATGGCAGATGAGGCCTTTCTTCTAGTTTGTCATATTCCAGATGGAACTCCTACCAATAAAGCAAAAAGGTGATCATTGCAGTACCGGCTGATGGCTAATTAAATTCTACACACTCAAGAAAAAATGTTTTCTCTTATAAATAAATGCAATGGATCTTACAATTTCTCAGTTTATTTTATCAGCGAAGGGAAGAAAATAAATAATAGTATAGCAACAATAGTTCTCACTTTTCAAAATGAAATTGCCTATAAAGTTTTTCCAGCAGCCAGTGAAAAATGAGAAGCATTGTAAAACAAAACTTATGATCTTCATATATTATATTGTTTCTTTCAGTATTTAAAGCATTTAATATACTGCTTTTAGGGACATGCTGTCTGTCTACCTTTTCCTCAGATTGTATTCCAAAATACAATTAATCACCATTGCCTAGAATAAGAGATGGGCAGAGGATTCACCTGGGGAGGCAGGGAAAGGAATTAATTGAACCAGCACAAAACTCTCAACCAAGCTTTGTTCCCATGTCTACCTAGATTATGCGTTAGATCTCTACCTAGATCTAATGCAGAATCAGCATTATTATGGCTGATAATGCTGTCTGTGATTTTCAAAGAAGTAGCCAGCTGTGTTAGTCTGTGGAAGCATATCAACACCAGTCTGAAGAAGTGAGTGTATCCATGAAAGCTCATGCTGAAATGTAGCAATCTTTAAGGTGCCACATTTTTGTTTCAGATTCTTGTTGTTGTTCTGTTTTTATTTTATTTTGTCTGGATAAGCTCTTTGTGACTAACATGACCTGCTGAAGTGCATTTGAGTTAAAAGCTTGGGTATGTGTCCTAGGTGAATTAAAATTTGACATCTTTTTTTTCATAAAGTTGTTACAGGAAAGTAAAAGAATTCTTGATAATAAAGACATAGTTGTGAGGTAAAAATGAAGCTACCATTTAATTTTATTTAACAATTTATTCTTCACATAATCTTAGCTAGTGACATGGTTTGTGCAGTACAATGTGTTTTACTGTTTAAAATAAATGATTCTTTGCCAAGGATCCATATTCTTTTTCATCATCAATACTTCCAGATTCTTTGTTCCAAATTAACAAGTAAAAACAAGGGGAAGACTTTATAGATTGAAAAATTAAAGACAGAAGTTTTGATTTACAGAAACCATTTTAAATCAAAGATATAAGGAACAAGGAAGAAACGTTCCTCTATTCCAGATGCTTTTAACAGTAGCTCCCTATAATCTAACAACAACTTGTATATCCAAGACAAGATTGCAAAGTGAATGGCAGTTTGTATCCAAAGTGTTTTATCCAAATTACTCATGACCAAAGAGAAGAAACCTTGGCTTAGCATAGGGGTGGTAGTGGTGGTGTGGCATACCAATTACCCCTCTTTTTTTCATATACGCAAATTTCCCCGGGGCAATTTTCTAGGGAAATCAGTAAGGAGGAAAAGTACAACAGCCTCCTGTTCATTTCCACATTTATTCAAATTATGTATATCCCACCTTTATACCTTAGACAGTTATCTAAGTCCATTAACAATATGATCCATTAAAATAATGACAAACACACAAAATAAAAGGTAAATGTCCAACAGATAGAAATGACAGATAGAGGAGGTGGACAGTCAAATCTAATAGCACCAAAAGTGCAAGCAACCAGATTTTTAATGTCCAAACAGTGCCTTGCTAAAGAAATAATAGGTGCCACGCCAAACAAAATCACTGCAGATTTTAAGCTCTTAAAGTTCTATGGATCAAAGTCAAAGCTCTTCTGAAAGCAATGGTTCTCCCTCTACCTCAAAATCAGATATAGGTTTGCAGGTGTACAGCTCCACTATATTCCCAAACTGCCCCACTACTGCCACAAGTACAGGTATTTTCAGATATACGTATGCATGTGTGTACAGGTATAAAAATGGAGGAAAAAACTCCTGTATCCATCCATCCTGCCCCGAAAAAGAACCTCCCCTTCCAAAACAGAAAAACTGAAAATTTGAGGAACACTGATGAAGACACCTTATTAAATGCTTTTCTTTCACATTACAGTAAATGAAATGCTTTAAGACATGTTTTTCTCACTCACAATGTATACGTAATATATATAATCCAAGGTAGAAGTTGAAATCTTATGCCATAACTCCAAGGATATGGAGAAAAGGCATTTCCTAAGCACAGATCTCACCCACATGCCCACAGTCCAATCAGTCTTTTCTAAGGTGCCACAATTCAATAAATTGTGATAACAAAAAATAGTGCTACTTCCCAATTCATATTTAAACATCAAAATTCACAGGAAGGTGCAAATCATACATTTTTCTACCTCCAAAGAAATGAGAATGAACTTTTAAGATGTATATTCCAGAATGGAATTAAGTAAAAACAAAAACTTTTAAAAATGCTTCAAGGATCTCATAATTACATAATTAGCTATCCCAATAACAACAGACTAAGTGTGTTTCAATCACTTACACAATAAACGTTAGTCAAAAGATGAAGTAAACTGAAAGGGAAGGAAAAAAAACTCCCATTTAGGGAGGGGATCTTGACATAAATCTTGTTCATCATACAATATGTTTTGTCTAAAAAATAACACAGATATTAACTGAGGTGTTCAAAATAGGGATAACAGTCAAAATACAGACACAATAAACTGAAGTGACTCAAGATAACAAATGCTGCTTAGCATTTAATGTATCTACCTTCCCCTGCCTCCATGCCCCAAATAACCTCTATCCTTTAACTGGATTTGGAATGGAAACCTTGTGTGGACCAGCAAGGGCCTAACCTCTCGGGCTGGTCCCCCTGTGTGTGGGTTCCCCACCTCAGACAGCAGGGACAATCCCAACCTGCAGCTCCCAAATAGACCGAGGAGGTGAGGACCCACCAGCAGGGTGAGCCTTGGAGGCGGGGATCATGGCGGTGGCAGGAGCTCTACATAAGGAGGACTCAACCATGGAGGAGGAGGAATTATGAATAGATGTTATGGATTGGGAGGCATGCCAGGTGGACGAGGTGCAGACCAGTGAGGAACGCAACAAGGAGGCTCTGGAAAGTGGTTGGAAGTACCTGCGCAGGAAGAAAGAGGCTTTTGCCCTCAATGGCAATGCTACCCATGAGGACTACAGAGAAAGACCATATTTAGAATTAGGACACTATCATCGTTGACAAGGTCGTGTTGGTCATGCCCATTTTCAGTTATCTCATTAAATAAACAATTTGATTTTGATCATCCCATTTTGTTGCCACAGAGTGGGCTGCCAAAGCAACTCACACCTTTTAAATGTAACTTTGAATGTTCTTGGTTTATAATGCAATTATTAATCAAAAGATGCCACAAAGAAAACACATATTTAGGAGAAACATGCCTACAAGTTTTGCGTGCAGATTTTAAAGATTTAGCTAAAGGAATAATACCTTAGCTACTTTTCTCCAGTTAAGACAGTCAAAGAAGTAATATGTTCCCCTCTCGTATGTATTGGTTTTCATTGTTGGTTCCATGCCTGGTGCCCTGGTAATCCATACTCTCTCTTCTTTGTGGTATCTCCAATCTCGGTTAAATCTATTGTCATCCAGCCAGAAAGAAAAGGATGATGTTAGCTACTTTTTTCCAGCTCGTAAAAAAATAAAAATAAAATACAATTAATGATACTTTTTCCTGATACTTTAAATATTTTATTGTTGATGCTACAAAATGACAACTTCTTCATCTATCAACAAACACAGTTTTGAAAACCCAACTATACTTTCGAGGATACTCTCTTATACAAGAGGGTGAATTAATTTTAGGAAGTATTAAAATACATTAATAAAATATCTTACTCCACAATCCCATGTAAGTAATTCAACCCCCTTACAAAACAGGCAAATCTTATTACCGTTTACAAAACAGATTATCATTTTAAAGCAGTGGTTCCCAACTTTGAGTCCCCAGATATTTTTGGATTACAACTCTCAAAAATCAAGGCCAAAACAGCTAGTGTTAGCTTTAGCCTGAGAACAGTTGGGAACCAAGGTTGGGAGCCAAGGTTGGGAACCACTGATTTAAAGATTTCATTAGAGATTTTACTAGTTATAATTCTGATCAATCCAGGGAATAAGGTAGATAGGTGGCTGAATACTGACTGACACTTAGTATACATACACACATGCAAATTTAGATGTGCATAGACACAAATAGAATATTCTACCTTCCCATGAATGCTCCAACTACCCTACAATTGCACTCATTTCACATGCTAAGAAGGTTATGCTCAAAATCCTACAAGGTAGGCTTCAGCAGTACGTGGACCAAGAACTCCCAGAAGTACAAGTTAGATTTTGAAGAGACAGAGGAACTAGAGACCAAATTGCTAACATGCACTGGATTATGGAGAAAGCCAGAGAGTTCCAGAAAAACATCCACTTCTGCTTCATTGACTATGCTAAAGCCTTTGACTGTGTGGATGAAAACAAACTATGTCAAGTACTTAAAGAAATGGAAGTGCCTGACCACCTTATCTATCTCCTGAGAAATCTATATGTGGGATAGGAAGCAACAGTTAGAACTGGATACGGAACAACTGATTGGTTCAAAATTGGGAAAGGAGTACGACAAGGCTGTATATTGTCCCCCTGCTTATTTAACTTATATGCAGAATACATCATGCGGAAGGCTGGAATGGAGGAATCCCAAGCTAGAATTAAGACTGCCGGAAGAAATATCAACAACCTCCGATATGCAGATACCACTCTGATTGCAGAAAGTGAGGAGGACTTAAAGAACCTCTTAATGAGGGTGAAAGAGGACAGCACAAAAATGGTCTGAAGCTCAACATTAAAAAGAACTAAGATCATGGCCACTGGTCCCATCACTTCCTGGCAAATAGAAGAGGAAGATATGAAGGCAGTGACAGATTTCACTTTCTTGGGCTCCATGATCACTGCAGATGGTGACAGCAGCCATGAAATTAAAAATGTCTGCTTCTTGGGAGGAAAGTGATGACAAACCTAGACAGCATCCTAAAAAGCAGAGACATCACCTTGCCAACAAAGGTCCACATAGTCAAAGCTATGGTTTTTCCAGTAGCAATGTATGGAAATGAGAGCTGGACCATAAAGAAAGCTGATCGCCGAAGAACTGATGCTTTTGAGTTGTGGTGCTGGAGGAGACTCTTGAGAGTCCCCTGGACTGCAAAGAGAACAAACCTATCAATTCTGAAGGAAATCAACCCTGAGTGCTCACTGGAAGGATGAATCCTGAAGCTGAGGCTCCAATACTTTGGCCATCTCACGAGAAGAGAAGACTCCCTGGAAAAAAACCCTGATGTTGGGAAAGTTTGAAGGCAAGAGGAGAAGGGGACGACAGAGGAAGAGATGGTTGGACAGTGTCATCAAAGCTACCAACATGAATTTGACCCAACTGTGGAAGGCAGTGGAAGACAGGAAACCTGGCGTGCTCTGGTCCATGGGGTCACGAAAAGTCAGACACGACTTAACAACTAAACAACAAACAACATGTACAAGGACGTATGCTGGATAATGTAGGGCTTATCAGCACACAAGCACAAGGGGTAGAAAAATCTACTTGCAGAAAGTTTCAACTCAAAAGTATTTCCTCTGGAATGAAATTCCCCTACATATGGTCTATAAAATTATATACCATAATTTGGTATATAACTTTACATTATATACATAAAATTATAAAACTGATTAAATAAAATCAAGACTATTATCTTTCCCTCTCTCCTAGTATAAAATCCAATGATGTCCAAACATACAGCTCTACTGCTGCTAATAGCTGTAATACATCTCCTCCATTCATGTAATAGAGATAGAACAGAAGGTCTTCCCCGTAGCGGCCAAGCTTTATTGCAGCCAACTATAAAGGAAAAGAAATGAACACTTTTTAAAAAATGGTTTGCATAAAGGCATTAAATCCAATACGTAATGTGTTTGTTTATGTCACTGAGGTCACTATTCAGACACAAATGACTGCAGTATAATTAAAGCTGGCTTCAACAAAATAGCTGGAACAAGTCTTCAAGTATGTTGCAGTAACTTTTTAACGCTACAGTAATTTCTCCTTCCAGCACCTATTTAAATTTACCTCTTTAATATCACTGATTAATGAGGTAGTCTTACAGTGTTCTTGTTCCTTACACATTTGCAGTCATACTATCCAACTTAGTCACATATGTTATTACACTTCTCAGTCTCAAATGATATGCTGCCTCTATCTGTCAAAATAAAGAACTTTGCTGAAATATATTAATTAGGAGGTGAGTTAAAATTTTAATCCATAACTCAGAAAACTCATTTAGGACAAAATCCTAAAAAGCCAAGATGGCTAAGGACTGGATGAGGTGATACCAGCCAGCTGAGGCAGTGCAGAATCCAGAAAATATTGGGATTCACTTAGGATCACCTTCAACTTACCATTATTCTTTACCATCATGGTAGCTGCATCTCTGGATCTGGAATTTCTGTCCATATCAAATTCACTACAGCCTGCACATTTTTTGAGTTACAACTGCACTGTCAGTTGAAATTACAGCTGGTTCAGCTTATGCAGTTATAATTCAATTGATTCAAATTATAGCTGTTTTGAAATTTCAGGCATTACTAATTTAATTTAGCCATTATATATATTATTATGATACAATAAGGCTTTTGTGCAGAAAATATAAAACAACACTACTTTTACATTATTTACTTTATTTTCCATGCACTGTAGTAGTTACAATAGCAGCAAAATAATATATTTGCTACTGGCAAGAACTCCTGAAATGTAAACTAAAAACAGATGAGATCCATTTCATTATTACTATTATTTATCTTTTTTATACATATAAAAAAATCAAACTGAAGAAAAATGACCAAAACTATACAATGAGATGCCTAACATTTTAAACACGAACAACTACCATGTGATTCATCACAAACAAATTTTTGGATTAGGCAATACATTTGCTGGATAGCTAGTTACCAATTAGGTAAGCTTTTAATTCTGAGAATGCAAAATGTGCCTTCATATCCAATAAAGATATTGCTCGATCCAAAACTTAATATTTTAAAATAATTCTTCCTATTTAAGAACAGTGATGGAGATATGTATTATATTTATGAAAATGTATCAAAACTGAATAATAAAAATGTCTTTTAAGCCAGTAACACCATCCTTAACTTACAGATTTTGCAGTGATAGCTGTGAGGCTAAAGAAATCCTTTGCCTTAGGCCACCTGGCACAGCCAAGGTCTGAACTAAGGACTTCATGGTTCATGTTCTTATTTGCAAATATAACATCTTTTGAAAACAGACTCTTATTCTATAAGAAAGTATACCCACCTTATCCCTAATGTGAATGTTCGTTAAGTATTCAGATGGAACATGGAAGTCTAAACACAGAAATGAGAAATGATTTAATTTTAAACCCACGACACTGATCCTCACTTAAGAATGTTAATATGTTTTACACAAACACTCATTTAGCAGTCAACCTTACCTATATCTTGAGGTCGACAAGGTGAAGAAGCCCACGGCGATGCAAATTTTGGATAAAGATTTCTGCACAGAGAAAAGGTGACTGAACTGATTAAGATCCATCTTTCTCCCAACATTTCTGTTATGTTTAATAATTGCATTACACATTTTACTGAGTCCAGATTCACATAATGGGCTGAATCTAGCAGTGTCATACATTAGTGCAAAAGAGAGAGAGAGAGAGATCCATGGTTGTGCAACAGGGACTGCATGGATATGCTTCCTCTTGTATTACCACTAACTAGCACAACAGTTAAGCCCAACACAACTCTACAAATGATTTCTGCTAATGTCATGGTGGAACTGGGACACTATCTAAGCAATACAACAGCCATTGAAAACTGTGCAGTGCAGTTTGTGAGATGTTAGACTAGCGTGGGTTTCTAGGGCAGCCAAGCGAGGTCTTTGCCAGTGATCGTCATGCCGCCAAGATGCCTGAGGAGGTGCAGACACATGATCACTCAATGGAGGAAGAGGTGGAGACCTTTGCCTTTCAGGCAGTAATTGCTCAGTTGATGTCTCTGATCATAAATACTTTTTATTCAAATAAAGAAATCTTCCTTAGGGAACTGATCTCTAACTCATCTGATGCTCTGGATAAAATAAAAAAAAAATCAGCCATTGAAAACTGACTTTGTATAGGTTGGCTCCACATTATAGTGGTAATATATGCATCTGACAAACACAAGAGCAATGAAACATGGGATGGAGGGGGCACAGCTCTCCCCTATGGGTGAGTATTTGACATGCTTTTAAATAATGGAATAACAATTTCACAAAGGGAGTGCCACAATAAATTATCTCCTGTTCTGCAAGTATTTTGTTCATCAGCGTGTTCCATCCAACATACATTGTTTTCACAGATTTTCAAAAGAAATCTGCAATACCACATAGCAAAAGTGAAGATAACACAGAATGTTATCACCCTCATTGACTGTAGTATTGAATTAACAGAACTCCAGAAAATTAATTAAATATGCAAACTATTTTCCTTTCTTCTGTTATTCATAAAATAAACAACTTTTACAATGCAATCCCATATATGCCCACTCAGAGGTAGGTCCCACTGATTCAGCAGGAAGGAGTTCCTCTAGTTACATTTATACAGATTATAGTCTTAGTTCCATAAAGGATTTGGATATTAAGTTTTTCTATATATAAACATAATCATTGAATTTCATTGCTCCACTGTAATTGCTTCAAACATAATCCATCCCACCCATCCTGGGCCTCTGTAGTAAGAATCCACTCATTCTGTGTAGACATGAAGCATAATTTTTCAAATCTTGGTTGCAGGCTCTCACACACGACTGTAAAAGGTGCCTTGGTTTTTCAGAAGGAAAATATAAAGGGATATGATGAGAATGGTAGGCCTGCAGCAGGATAAGGAGGAGTGATAGGCCCCAGGGATCTTATTCTTAACTGATGAGAAGTGAAAAAGGTCTGTCTAAGCAGTGAAAATTAGATGGTAGAAATATTCCACATCTCTTATACTGTTACCGGAAACTTAACATAATACATACATCCTCAAGCAGGAGTCAAATCTGACTACTTTTCCATGTTTTGTGAAGCTCAAGTAACATATATAATAAAATAAAAAATAAATCCTTACAAACATGTTGCTATATAAAGCAACATTTTTATGATTGTTGTGGGTTTTTCGGGCTCTTTGGCTGTGTTCTGAAGGTTGTTCTTCCTAACATTTCACCAGTCTCTGTGGCCGGCATCTTCAGAGGACAGCACTCTGTGCTCTGGTGTAGTTTGCTTGGGAGTGGAGTACAGTGTTAGATCCTGGCCGGGAAAGCCTTCGTGAATACAACATATTATAATGTTCCTTGCAATACAACTGATACATTAAAAAATAAGCTATTTACAAAAGCATATAGGCATCCTCAAGATGTATTTTAAAAAAATAATATGTGGAGTTTATTTATGATGAACAATACTCTGAAACTGAAAGGGAATAAAAAAGGATTCTGATTTATTGCAAGTTCATAAATTTGAACTTCAACACCCTGAAGCTACCTGTATTATTAAGATTTGCTTTACTGTAATTACATTTTCAGTTTACCTTAGCAAAACACCTTTAAAGTTCTGATGTTCAAGGTAAGCAAAGCTATTATTTTAAAAAGCATGAGCAGCTGTAAAGCTAAAATCAACTTACTCAGGAGAGTTGAGATTGAGACCTAGAGTTGTCAAGTCACTTCCTAATGCGAGATGTACCATGCCAGGATCTGTCTCTGCTGCCCTGATGAATGTTAACAAGCCAATCATTCCAAACTGATCTGTCACCATCCCTTGAGGAATATTGGTAACCCGACCTAGGCAAACGCATCACCACATTAATCTCAAAGTGTACCGATTTTTTTTAAAAAAATTGAAAACATATGGGGAGGGGGAGAGGAGTGGACAGACAAACATGCATACCATCAGGTAACACTTGGATCCCTTTTTTCTGCTGGTTGTTGTTTTGCGTTGTGGAACTTTTATCTCCAGGAAACTTCGGTCCATCTGCACTAGATGATGTTTTACCTGATGTATTCAAATTCTGTTAAGAAAATAAAAGATAAGTACTAAAAAAAAAGACCACACACACACTTATACAGTAATCTACAAAGTCTCTTTACAAGGACATGTGTTCATGCATACTGATTTCACCCTTTTTTCTTTCTAAGGACAAGTTTATATGTTACAGATGTATTCTGAAGCTCCACTGAATTGGATGCAACATCTAGATTACTACTGAAAACATGCGAGAAGACCAGGAGTGTACACAGATTTGGCAATACTGTCCTTTGTTTATATCAGGGATTTAAAATAACAGAATAAATCAAAACTTAAATCCTAGACAGAAGTATCCACTTCATTATCCATCTTACTTTTGTGATATGGACTCCTGCAGGGGTCCTTTTAGTCTATGCATCATCCATGTGAAACTGATTATATCATTCAGAGATTTGAAGTGCTAACAACAGGTGGTGACAACCACTTCTGTTTAGTTTTTACATAAGGCTGAAGAAAGGTAATTAGCATGCAGAATTTATATGTAAGGTCAATAATAGACTTGATACGGGCCAAAAACTGACGTTCCATTCTGATGACATGGGGGCTGTGGTTCACTCCCAACTTCTAGGGGAATATGTTTGCAGTCCCTTGGTGTTCTTTGATACAATTTTTATCAACAGAGGCCCAAGTGGCCTCTAGGGAACAAACTGCCTCCCACCTATTGGCAATTTATGTCTAAATAAGTGAAATCACAGAAATTGAGGCAATGAAACTGCAGCTAATTAATGAAGTGCCAGTTGGGCTGAGAGGAGTTTTAAATGCACTGTTGTGCTCTGTTGTTTTAAATGTGTTTTAATACTGATCTTAGTTACCATTTTAATATAGCACTTGTTTAATTCTCTTTTAATGTTTGTATATTTACTGTTTTAGCTTTTAAATACTGTTTTAGTGATGTAAGCCTTCCTGGGTCCTTTTGGGGAGAAAGGCGGCATAGAAATATTTTAAATAAGTAAATAAACAAACAAATAAATAAACGCACTTCTGCTCACAAAACAGTAATGTAACCAGAAATGCACCTGAGATCTCATTAATTAGCAACAATTTGCTGCTGTGACCTCTATGACTGCCTGAACATGATAATAATGGGATGACGATGATGGTGACCATTAGTAGCAGTAGTGCTTCCTACAGCCCACCAAATGTTGGCTGGATTTAATTCCTTGAATATCAGTCAGGCCATTCCCAATATTCCCGATAATAATTGCTATCAGGTTGTTGATGTTTTTATTGGCTCTTCTGCAGTACACAACTGTAAACCTTGCTTTTTCTCTGAAGGGAGGGCTATATACGGATAAAATAAAATACATATTATGAACAATTTGCCTTATTTTTAAAAATGTCAGTTTTTAATAAAATCCCTTAAAGCAGCACACTTACAGATTTACTGTCATCATTACTTGATGTTGGATCTTTGTAGTTGGAGCCTGGTAATGCTGGAAAATCTTCGTTGTGTATTGAGAAGTCCTGGGTTTGCTCACTTGCTGGTTTTGTTACCATTCCAACTGTATTAAAGATAAATGTATGAGGTTGAGTAATAAAGAGTGGCCCACTAAACATTCATGGCAGCTTAACTCCATCAGAACAAATTTCAGCAGTAAAATTAAGAAGTCAGCACAGGCATTTACTACCACACTTAAAGCCACACTAAATCATAGAATAGTGAAGTTGGAAGAGGCCTAATGAGGTCATCAAGTCCAACATAACTCATTTCTGATAGCAAATGCCTATGGCAAATTTTTAAAAAGGTGACAACTGACCTCTGAAGTTTACACAAATTAAGTTTCAATGGCAGGTATAAAAACTAGAATTCTGACTAATATATTTTTGTGCTTCCAGTGGCTAATGTTGAAACAAAAACAAAGTAGAAATACTGTGGCACTTTAAAGATCAATAAATTTATTTCACTGTGAACTGTGAACTGTTTCTTGGTTAAAATCCACTTTTTCAAATACAATTTTTATTGTTGCCATTTCTTGTTTTACTGTTTATATTTTAAGCCACCATGAAACTGTTTATATACCGTAAATGCAAAGATGCACATTTATTAAATAAAATATGACATATGATCAAATGCTCTTCTAGTGAATTACTCCTTAAAAAGAAATACCATAGACCAATTTTTAAAAAGAAAACTTATCAAAATTGTTTAATTACATTCATTCAGTAATATAAGAGATGCAAATAATCAGGGACACAACAAGTGCAGAAGAAAAACTGCTAGCACTTAACTGGTAAATCTGGCCTTTGTCGAATGCTTGTCAAAAAAGTTGGCCAAAATTCAAAATGTGAAATTCTAGGGCTAAAGGGCTGCAATCTTCACTAGAATTGTAATAACTACATCTGAAACAAATGTTTTGCTTTCTCACAGATTTTTTTTTTTAAAAAATAGCTAACTACTAGCAGTTTACTATGCAAGTGGAACAAGCTGGGGAGGTGAAAAACAAAAAAGCTATAGACACCACTGGTTCTTAACCTTGGGTTACTCAGGAGTTTTGGACTACAATTCCCAGAAGCCTTCACCACCAACTGTGCTGGCTGGGGTTTCTGGGAGTTGCAGTTCAAAAACATCCAAGTAACAAAGGTTAAGAACCACTGGTATAGATAATCTAGTAACTGACTTCTCTAAACTGCTCTCAAATGAGGACTGTCTCAATTTTAACAACTTGATCTCTTTGTTCTCTGTAATGTGCCAAGTTGTTTACAATATTTGATTCTTTACATTTTAAACTATTTCCACAAAACCATTGGCTATTTTTTTTAATAAAAGTCTTCTACTTATTAAATTAAAATGTGGACCTTTATTAAAGATACTAAAAATTTCAAGGATCACATAGAAAGACAGCCCCTTGACCAAAAAAATTATGCTTATGGACAAAAAGGATATATTGCAAACAACAAATTCTCATAATACAAATCTAAATATGCCAGCTCAGCCATAAGTCTCATTGAGTTCTATGGGAGTGGATTCTCAGGTAGATGTTTATTATAGAACTTCAGTCTAAAAATCAAAAGACTACTGTACATTTTTCTTCAAGATTCTGAGTTGCAAAATCAATACAATCTATGTTTAAGTGTCAAGGATGCCTTTAAGAAAGTATGTTATAAATATAGCAATTAAAATGTTATACACTCACCGTATGGTGCCCTTCCAGCTAGAGGGTTTATTAATGGAGTTGGATTGCCACTTCCTTCCCTTCTGTTTCTGTCTGCTAGTGCTGGAAAATCTGAAAGGTCCAACCCTGTCACATTTTCACTGCCATCTAGAAGAAAACACACAAAATGTATAACTCTTTACAGTATCATTTCCCAGCAAACATAATATACTATGTAATAATTAGTAAATCACCTTTGAACCAGAAGGGTATTTTATTCCCTTTTTGTTGTAGCATTAAGTAAACATCCAAAAATGGAGGGACCAAGGTAATGTGGATCTCACATGTTAAACAGAAATATTCTGTTGGACTGGTGAAGGTCCCCTCAACCATGAGAGTGAGCTCTCCACCTCTCAGAGAATGCCAGCTGGATTCGCTACTCACAGCTCCTCTGTCTGGCAAGGTGGAGACAGATGATGTTCTCAAGGGCACAGGTGTGGTCATGGTGGAACTTGGACTTAAGATGGAGAAGGAGAGAGAGGAGAATTGTTGTGTAGATGCCATAGATTGGGAGGTGTACGACGCCCAGGAGGTGCTGCGACTACCGCCGAAGTTGGAGGCGAGCTGAGAGATGGTATGCAGATATAATCCTGAAACCACCTATGAGGTAGAGCTGCTGGTGCCATTGGAGGAAGCCTCCTGGGTCCATTGGGACCAGATGAAATGCTGAGAGGCTTAAGAATCAATGGCAGGCTTGCTGCCAGTAGAAGAGCTCCAGGGTCTAGCAGCACCAATAGAGAAGCCCTGCAACCAGCCTCCTAAGTCTCATGTAGATCAGTATCCCATTCCTTCCCACCCTCCACTCTACTCCGCAGGACATACCAGCCAAGTCCACATGGAGTTTGGACAAGCCACCCAAGGGATTAGCATACTGCTGGTGGCTGGCAGGGCCTTAGGAGAAGTAGCAGGGGAGGGAGCCTTTGCTGCTTGTGCCAGGGACATTTGACACCATGCATGCAGCACACTTTTTGTGGGACCCTGTGCCTGATCCACCTGTGAGAGGTCTTTGACCTGGTAGAAGAGGCAGGGCTATACTCCTCCAGGTAAATACTATACAGGGCAGTGCCCTGAGGACTGAGGGAATGAAATTTACTCCCAGAATTACATGTTTTATATTAATGGCCCTGTTGGCCCTTTAAAAGTTATGTTGCTCAATAAAAGAGCCTGTTTCTCCAGCTACTCTTGGTGCTGTCATGGAAGGGGGCACAGAGGCTGCCCGCAGATTCACACATCAGTATAATCTGATGTGTATTTACTCAGAAATAAAACTCACTGAAGTCAATGGGACTCCTGAATAAGCATACAGGACTACAGCTACAACCATCTAATATACTAATTCTGGAAAAGGAACAAATAAAAGTAGCAGGGCTGAAAATCTATTGCTGGAGTCAGTTGATGGGGAAGATGAAGAAACAACGTAACTGACAATACACTGGAAAAGATGCATTTCCTCTTGTGGTTTACTACTAGAAGTACAGACAATGAATCTCTCACATCACAATAGAGTTTATGTTTTACTGTTATATGTTTGGTGTGGCATCACCCATAGGTGATCCAGTAGCAATTCAATACATCCTAGAGGGAACAACATTTAAGTAGGGGGTAGCACACCAACTGTGCATCCAAGCATCAGTTGCTGAGTCCCAAGAAAGCCAATTAATACCTGAGAGCCAAATCCATGGCTTAGATTATGTCATTCATTTCCATGGTCCTGGGAACATCTACTAGTTGGAAATGGGGAAACACTTATAATTCCAGCACTGTGGTATTTTGCTTCCCCTGAATTTCCCACGACGTTAGAGTAGGGTTCCAAATGCAGCAGAGGACTTTTGTAGATTTGGCCCATAATTATATGGAGAACATTTAACCTACAGTGTTGAAGTGACTTTGTAAATATAAAATAATCTGCATTCTAAGAAACATTCAGATGCGATTTTAAACTATTCATGAGCAAACATCATGGTTTGACCACCCTTTTCCCTCCTCTCACAGTACCCCACATACCACTCTGGAGGGTACCCTAAATTTCCAAATATATTTTCAGAAGGCATGAAAGGATATGGGGGAATTGGCAAAAGTTATTTTCCCACTTCTATCGGTGGACGTAAGGTCTAGGTCCAAGCCCATGACGATAGAAATTCCTACACAAACGTTGTCATTACAGACACAAATCAAAACATGCATAACAAATCATGTTTATCAAGAAAGCTCCAAACTTCAGAAACTTAACTTAAATCTTACCTGTTCCATTAAAAATATTACTTGATAAAGAGTTATTCATTCCAAATGCCGGATTCCTGTTCATTCCAAATCCAGACATACTGGTATAAACATTAAAAAGAACAAAGAAAAAGGGAGGGGGGAATGTAACATATTTAAAATAAATCTCAACCTATAGAAATGAATAATGAAAATAGCACATATTCAGCACTACAGTCAAAATGTTTTGCCTTTTTAAAGAACCACTATGCATAAGTAAAATTTTGAGATTTTTAAATTTAACTGTTGACAGAGCAGTATGCACTAGTAACACTGACTGAAGCAATCAAGTGTTTCCTGCAAATAAATACAATGGTTAAAATTGCTAGACCTAAATGCTTCTAACTAGGAAATCAGTCAAACACCGAAGACATTAAAAAAACAAAACAAAACACCTGGAAGGAATCTAACTTGTCAATCCACCCGTGAATGCTTAAAGAACACATAATGACAGACAAGATTACATGAACTACCTCAGCCCAGGAAAACAATCAAGTAAAAAATACCAAATCCAAATCTTCTGATGTAACTGTGCATCACTATATGGAATATAAGTTGAAAATGTTAAAGAATTAGTTGGTATCAACTTTCCATGAACAATTTTTAAAACGGATGAATCCTTGCATCGAACAGTTCCAAGAAATAAAAATGTAGCATGGGTTATTCCAAGGTTACTTTGCTTGGAACAAACTCTGTTATGAAAAATGTGAGGCTGCCACTGCTGATAAAACAGAACTCCCAAAATGGAACAGAGGTGCAAGTCTGAGAATATGCAAAGCAAAGCCACCCAAGGAAACCTTCAAAACAACAAAGGAAATTGAAAACCTTACCAAGAAGCAGTGATATCACATATCATTCTGAAAACAAATCAGTATGTATTTTTTAAATTTGTGTCTTGATTATTTGAGGCTCAAGAAACTTTAGGCTCATAAGCCAAAATATTATAATAATGCCGTGTCCTCTTTCTGCTTTTCAGTCTTTCATTAGCTGTCTATTTTTCCTTTTAGCTGCTTTTTCATTTACACTTCAAACAGTCTGCAGGGATCGTGCCCATTTAGTTTACCCACACCATGTGCCTTTGGGGGAATCACAGCTCTGAGTATAACAGAAAGTATACTAACTTTTTCTCCATTAAATATAAGATGCAGCCAGAAAGCCATTTTATTTTGTTGTTCACCACCTGTTTGTAATATTGTGATGGTAATCAAAATTAAGGGTTTTGTAAATGAATTGGAACTGACAGAAACAGAAGTAACCAACGTTCCCTCTAAGCTGAGCATACAACTGCATCTCCTTCCACACTGCTTTCTTCCTCCTCTGCACAGTGATCACATTCAACCTCTCAGGTTCTGGTCACAATGGAACCCTGCACGTGCCCCCCCCCGAGCTGCATGCACACGGAGGGGCAAAACCGCGTGTGAGAGAGAGGCAAAGCCCTGCCTAGTGGGTCTGAAAATTAGAGGGTACGTTGGAAATAACAAATCAGATACCATTTTAGCCTCTCCTCCCTGCATTTTTGAACATATTATCGTGTTTAGTATTGCTTGCCAGAGGCATAAAATGATGGCTGCATGGACTTCTACTTGAACAGTCCTAATTTAAAATCAAATGAGGCTGAATTACACATACACAAGTTTCCCTATCGTATCTGGATCTAATGATAGGTCTCTGGGAGACTTTCCTTGATCTGCCAGAATTTGTGATTCCACATTTTTGCCAACAAAATGACTCTTTCCTGTATGCCCATCCCTGGAAGAATATTTCTGAAATTAAAAAGGCTTGGAGTAAACAGGAATGAGTTCTGTATTCAGTTCTGGGACTCCAAGCAAAATTCTTGAGCTACAATTCCTTAACTGTACTTGCATGTCTTTTGAACACTTCATAAGTTTCCATTGAAGGCTCTCATGACTCCAGGAAAAAATGAAGTAGATTCTACAGTGGGTTCTCGACTTACGAACGGCTCGACATACGAATGTTTTGACTTACGAACCACTCTCATAGGAATATATGAACTCGACTTACGAACTTAGATTCGAGTTATGAACTCTTTTTCCCCCTTTTTTTAAAAGCTAAGTCATCTTAGGTCAAAAGGAAAAAAGAAAAAATTATCCCCCGCTAGTGGCAGAAGGCGGAATATCAGCTTCCCATTAGTTTCTATGGACGAAAAGAGCAGATACGGATTAAATGGTTTTCAGTGCATTCCTATGGGAAATGCAGATTCCACTTAAGAACTTTTCGACCTGAGAACTGCCTTCCAATACCAATTAAGTTCGTAAGTCGAGACCCCACTGTATAAGGTCTGAGGCTATTATTCTAAAACGCAGCAGACCCAAGAAGTTAAGTTTCTATTAATAAGGTACTAAGAAAAACTAATACCAATATGGCTTCATTAGAACTAAAAATGTCCAGCAACCAGCTTTTATATTGGTTAAGAAAATCAACCTGAAAGAAAATTTTGTAGGAAACTAATTGCATAGTTAGTGAGAACTATCAAAGCCAATTGTTCTCGTCCTCTGTGGTTTGAAGAGAAGAAGGTGGCCTCCAACAGATTACTCAAACATTACAGAGACCTGGATGACATTATTTTCAGAGCAATAAAAGGGAACATGGGGAAAAAATTAACTGAATGTCATAATTTTTGACAGTCTCTGCTCAAAAATTGGGAACCTGCTTATTAAAAGTGAATGCATTTATTACATATCTGCTTCCACTTCTGAGGATTTAAATACATACTAAGCAACTTAAATACCTAATACAAAAGTATTTATCTTACTTTTACCATTGATTTCACATAATTTTTTTCTCAGGACAAAAGAGATTTGAAACCTGCAATGTGAAATGCTGTTGCTGGTTAACAAGTAGAAAATTTCAATCTAAGTTGTCTATGGTTGAAGGGAAAAATCTGTCCCTCAAAGAAATGGAAGAGATGAGGACAAGACAGAGGACCAGAAAGTGTTTGTTTAAATGAGATGCATTCTCATATCCTTGCTTTTAGAAAAGCTTACAAAAGCAGAGGATAGTAGCTATCTGATCCAAAGGATCCTGTAACATTCATGCAAACGCTCTGTTAGAGTGAACATTTTATTTTCCTAAAAGGCTTCAGTAAAAAGGCAGCTTTTCCAACATATGGACTTTATGTCTGAAGGAGAGAAGCCTGATTCAGGCATTCCTCAGTTCAGCACTGTGAACATGCTTGGAGAGGAGCACCCAGCTCTCTCCCGCCATCCTGTTCTTCATGATTACAATGCTAAGTCTGAAGAGTGAAAGATGCTTGCTCACATGTAGACTTTATAGACAAGGAACCAAACCTTCTCCCTGGAAATCCAAGTTCATGCTCATTTGTAGCCCTGACAGGATTTTTCAGTTTCAGCCCTGCAGCCATGAAGAACATGGTGGCAGAGGGGGTGTGCTCTGTGCCTAAGCATATGCATGGCACTGGGCAGAAAAACATCTGAACAGGGCTAAGACATACACTGCACTATACAAGTGTATATGAAACTCACCATACAGCTCTTTGGACTGGGACAGTCATTACATTCTAGTTGGCTATGAGAACTCGCTAATCCTAAAGTAAATTTGCTGAAAGTAATCTTATATAAAATAACTATGCTTTGATTTAAACATGTATTTGACAGGCATGTTTCATCTGTGCAACTGCAATAATAAAAACATTTCAAAATAGACTCCGTTGCTTCCACACAAAAAATATTTACCTACTTCAACTTGTTTTATCAGTTAAAAATACAGTATCTATTACCTAGCCTAGAGTGACAAATAGTAGTCCTTATCTTACCTGTTCACAGTAAAAGGTTGTCGAGAGGGTTGTTGCTTTGGCATACAGATTATGCTGGGCGAGCTTCGATTAGGGCTGCCTAATCCTGAACTGCTCATGCTGTTTGTCCTGCTGGGAATTCCAATGCCCTGACCGACCTGGGAGTGGTTCATCATATTCCTAGGATTCATAGGCAATATACCCCTTAAAAAAGAAAAGGGGGAAAAAAAGATGTTCAGCTGCCAAAGGTTTTGCAAAAAACCAGTTCTCAGAACTGTTTCTAAGCAACAGGTCCATTTGCTTGTATCCATATAGAAAAATATGCTTTTTTTCTAAAACTAATGATCCACCAGATTTGCTACCATTCACCTTGACTAGCAATGGTTCCCAATGTTTCATTCACATTCCAGCTTTTGACATTCTATCATGTGCAAATTTCAAAAACAATTATTGAAGCCTGGGATACCTGATCAAAATTATACACCACTCTTAAAAAAGAAGACAGAAGCTGAAAACCTGTCTTAATGGTATGTAAGACTGATTACATCATCAGCAACAATGATTTTTCAAAAATTAAACATTTGCAGTTCTTCTCCTTATGTCATACTAATGATGATTTTCAGTACTGTAATTAAAGACTTTCATCTTATAGTTTCCACCATTTCCTTAAGAGTTTAGAGTGAGGAGTCAGAAATGTTTAATTTCCCAAAAACACACACAAACATGCTACTGATGTCATCAGCCTTACCAGCCTAAGTTATGGAAACTAGATTTTACCCAAGAACTGCAAAACCAAATGTCACACATTAGCTTATATTCAAATGTCATTTAAACCTGAAAATGTACTGAAACCATACAACTAGTACAGTGCTCATAACATATGTTGAACTGCTGTCTAACATCTATCATTTTAACAATTCAGCACAGCAAAATTTGAGTATTTTTTGCAGCACAGATCACTCTTGCAAAACAGTATTTTCTCAAACACTCCCAAGCGTAACGACCTAGAAAATTAAAATATTTTCCTCTTCTAATAAAGTTATCCAGAATACATAATAATGTTCAAGTTTTTTTAAAGCAGCATATTTGAAAAGGCTCTGCAGAAAATATCTGTTGTCAATAAATACCTGCTCGGAGATGGAGGCGTGTGAAGTGACATTGTTGGTACCCCTGTTGTTGGCGTTACGTGGCTCGGTAACTGAGTGCCTTGTGATAAGCTGCGATTTAACTGAGGGGTATTGTTGCTCATTCCCCTCATTGGAAGGCCTAGTGCACCTATTGAAAAAAATTCAGAGGCATGGGAACGTAGAGAATTAAGGAACAGTTTTAGCTAATCTGTGAAGATGGGGATCTACTTTGATTTGACAGTCGAAATGTTATTATTGGGCTTTTATTTGGGAGCTCCATGGATTAAATATGCAATATCAAAAATTTTAACTGACTTTATTAGCAAGTATTTCTAGATGAATCCATGCTATGGCAAGTTTTAAATTTAAAAACTACTATGGGTTCACAATTCAATTATTTGCTTCAAAAAAATTCAACAGAAAATGTTTAACTTTTTTTTTAAAAAACTGGATATTCTGAAGGCTGTATCATGCCATTTTCAATATTTATTAAAATACAGCTGTATCACCTACACAATACTGTAAGTATACAGGACTACATTCCATTGCTGACTTAGCAGATGCTGCCAGTACTCGTTATATCAAACCCTTTCCTCACTGATACTGATGGAATGGATTTCGTGTCTGCCTACCAGGGGATTTTCCCCCCTTATTTACATGCTTCTGAAATCTGCTCCAGATCTGGGGAACTTCCAGAGAAGATTTAGGTCTGGAGACAGTCTGACAATAGGGGGAAAAGGAAGGTATTTTATTGTATGAATATCAGGCAAAAACAAAAGAAAAATAAAGATTACAAAAACCTTAAAGACTAACTGCTATATTTTAATCTGAGTTTTCATGGACAAGTCCACTTCCTCGCTGTCACTGCATGACAGTGTACCACTAAATAAGTTGACCTTACCACTGAGTAAACACACATAGGCTTAGATTATACATCATTTAAAACATTCTAGCCAGAATCTTAAGAATATATATTCAATGAAATCCACAATGACTTCAAAATCTCACTTTTAAAAGACCAAATTAAGATTATTAAACTCTTAATATAGATCAAAGTCCTAACAGGTATCAAATTAGGAATTTGTGGTTTACTTGTTTCTTGCTTGCCATACTGGTGATTTTTTTCTCAAGCAAGAAGAGTTGTTTTATAAATTTCTTCATCTCTGTGACAAAATCGTGTTTGTTACATATGTAAAAGTATATACATAATTTTATATCTATCTATCTATCTATCTATCTATCTATCTATCTATCTATCTATCTATCTATCTATCTATCTATCTATCTATCTATCTACCTATCTATCTATCTATCTATCTATCTATCTATCTATCTATCTATCTATCTATCCATGAAAAAATCCTTAGAAACCTCAATCATCCCCTTGATCTGAAAAATGTACAGTATACCATGCACAATCTACCTGGAGTTGGCCACAGTATGTCCTGTGACCAATCTGTGGCATTTTTAAAATCTAAAGTGGACGCCATCCGCCAGGACCTTTATCCCTTTTTACAGAAAGTAGACTGAGTTGAGATGTCCAGTGCATTATCTTGTCCAGAGATGTTAACCTGCTTTCAACCTGTGACATCCAATGAGGTGGACGGGGTGCTTCTGCGCTGTCGTGCCACCACCTCCTCCTTAGACCCTTGCCTGGCTTGGCTCATTAAAACAGCCAAGCCAGTAACAACAGAACGCGTCACTGCAATAATTAATGGGTCTCTCCAGAAGGGCATGGTTCCCCCTATCCTCAAGAAGACGCTCATTAGGCCTATTCGAAAGAAACCTAATTTGGTGGCAGACAAAATTGGTAATTATAGGCCTGTCGCCAATGTTTCTTTCTTAAGTTGTTGAGAGAGTCATGGATGACCAGCTCCAGGCACTCCTGGAGGAAACTGACGCCCTTGATCCATTCCAGTCGGGCTTCAGGCCACGGCATGATACGGAAACAGCATTGGGCGCCCTGCAAGATTACCTCTTGAGGAAGGCCAACAGGGGCAATATGTCCTTGTTGGTCCTCCTCAGTATCTCAGCAGCCTTTGATACCATCGCCCACAGTGTCCTCCTAGGGTGGCTCTCCGAGCTGGGCATCAGTGGCCTCACTTTGGCATGGATCCGTTCCTTCTTGGGGGACTGTCCCCAGAGAGTGCAGCTTGGTGAGATGACTTCCATCCTATGGATCCTCAATTATGGAGTTCCGCAGGGGTTGATCATCTTGCCAATGCTATTTAATATCTATATGAGGCCGCTGGGTGAGGTCATCTGGAGTTGTGCGACTTGGTGTCATCAGTACACTGATAATACCCAGCTCTACTTCTCCTTTTCTCTAACTGCAGAGGATGCTGTTCCGTCCCTTGAACGCTGCTTGGGGAATGTTCTGGGGTGGATGAGGGCAAATGGACTGAGGTTGAATCCAGAAAAGACGGAAATCTTGTGCGTGGGCGGCCCTGGCATCAGTGGGTTGGGAAACTCCCTTTCCTTTGGGGGGTGTGACTTTTCCCACGAAGAATGAGGTTCGCAGCTTGGGCATCTGTCTGGACCCAGATCTCACCATGGAAACCCAGGTGACATCTGTGGTCTGCGCAACCCATTTCCATCTTCGGAGGACTGCCCAGCTGCATCCATGTCTAGACACAGGGGCACTCATGATTTTGATTCATGCACTCATAATCTCAAGAATAGACTACTGCAGTGCTCTCTATGTGTGGCTAACTTTGAGATTGATGTGGAGACCACAAATGGTTCAGAATTCGGTGGTTAGATTGATAACTGGGGTGAAGAAATTCTAGCATGTTTCCACATCGACTTCAAGGTTATGATGATAATGTTCAAAGCCCTAGACGGTTTAGGATCTCGGTACATAGCAGAACGCCTGCTCTCAGCCATATCTGTCCATAATACCTGTTCTTCACAGGCAAGGCAGTTGAGGGCCTTGACCCCGAAGGAGGCCGGGAGGGAAAGAACAAGAAGCCTGGCCTTCTCAGCAATGTTCCCCCGCCTGTAGAACAATCTGCCCATGGAGATATGCCTGGCACCCTGTTGGGTGGGTTTAAATGAGTATTGAAAACTTGGCTCTTCCATCAGGCTTTCCCTGAATATTGTTGTTGATATCTCTGCTTCCCTTTTATCACCATTTCTACGATCTTTATAGACAGCTGTTTTAATTTATCCTACTAGTTATTGTATCTGTTGAATGTTTGTATTATTTTATTCTTATTGCATTTGAATACTGTGTTGTTTATCTTGTTATTAGCCGTCCAGAGTGGCCTGGCTGTCAGATGGTGTGTGGCATAAATCTAATAAATAAACAAATACCTAAAAAGTTACAAAAACCTATTCTCAAACTCTGTAATATAGTTCTGAAATGACTGATTACATGATACGATAAATAGTTAATCAGCAGCAGCGCATATGTGCCTTTTCTTTTGCCACAGAGACCAATAGCAGAACGACAGGTTACTCACCTGTAATTGTGGTTCTTCGAATGGACCTCTGTGATTCACACCCTGGGCAATCCGCGCTTGTGCGGAGCCTCATTGAAATATTCTAGAGCTTCTGCAATAGCAAAAAAACTCCACATTAGTGTAGACCCCTCTCCCTCAGTATATGTACCTTGGTGCCAAGACACTTTCTTCAGTTAGGTCAACTGCTGTATAAATAAGCACGGTGTGACAGTGGGGAGGTTGGGTTCTGGATGTGTGAATCACAGAGATCCACTCGAAGAACCACAATTACAGGTGAGTAACCTGTCCTTCTTCGTGGTCTCTGTGAATCACACCCTGGGTGACTAACAAGCTGTCTTACCCAGAGAAGGGTGTCACGCCAAGATAGAGGATAACACAGCATGTCCAAAGGCCACATCAGATTTCTGCCGAACTTCCAATCTGTGGAACGCCACAAAGAAACACCATAGATGTTGCCACTGTCCTGGTAGAATCAGAGTGAACAGATTGTGAAGCAGGCAGTTGCGCAAGCTGGTAAGCTAGGTAAATGGTGGAAACAACCCATTTAGATATCCTCTGCAAGGTCACTTGAAGACCTTTAGTAGGGAGTTGGTAGCTGACAAAAAGTCGAGTTGAATGCCTGAAGGGCTGCGTGCAGGGCAAGTAGAAAGTGAGAACCCTTCTTACATCCAAAGTATGAAGGATCCTTTCCTGAGTAGATGGAGACAGTAAAAAGGATAGAAGAATTAATGGTTGGGACAGATGAAACTGGGAGACAACTCTGCACAAAAAAGAAATATCTCCAAACAGTTTGACTTTACAGTGGTGCCTCGCTAGACGATGATAATCCCTTCCACTGAAATCGCTGTTTAGCGAAATCATTGTCTAGCGAAAAGCATTTCCCTATTGGAATGCATTGAAACCTGTTTAATGTGTTCCAATGGGGAAGAATCGTCGTTGTCTAGCGAAGATCGGCCATAGGAAAGCTGCTTTGTGAACCGCCGATCAGCTGTTTAAATAGCTGTCTTGCAACGCTTAGGTCCCGAAAACACCCATTTTGCGAGCGCGGAGGGAGCTGGCAAAATCGTTGTCTAGCGAAAATCAGTTTGCGAAGCAGGGACCAAACATTGTCCAGCAAAATTCCCCCATGGGAATCACTGTTTTGCGAATCACTATAGCGATTGCAAAAAGTCAATGTCTAGCGAAAAAACTGTCATGCGGGGTAACTATCTAGCGAGGCACCACTGTATCTGGATAAAATTGGAGATAAGGGTAATATCGTAGGGCTGCGAGTTAACCAGCACGATGAGTGGATGTAATAACAATGAGGAACACTGTCTTAAAGGTGAGTGGTCTGAGATCAGTTAACGCTAAGGGCTCACACAGGGCCCTTGTAAGTTGTTGAAGGACTACTGTCAGGGACCATTGAGGTGATGGTGGACGCACGTCTGGGTACATGTGCGATAGCCCTTTAAAGAAACACTTCAGAGCAGGGTGTCTGAAGAATTGAGCTGCTGGAGAAGTTGGTGACTGATAAGAGACGACTGCAGTATGATAAACCTTTAGGGATGAAAGAGAAAGGCCTTTCATTTTTAGATGAAGTGAAAAACACACAGTGGCTAGGTAAGGATTGACTGATAATAGTGAAGATGCTGTAGTAAAGGACTGAAATTTCTTCCATTTGTACATGTAAGCCCTCCTAGTTGAGAGTTTCTTCGCCTGATGGAGAACATTTATCAGGGAGGCAGAATCCTCCATGCTGTCAGATGAAGGGCAAGTAGGTCTGGGTGGAGAATTTGACATTTGTTCTCTGTAAGCAGGTGAGGCAGGCGGGGCAGGTGATAGGTGTCGGATGAGAGTTGGTGGAGAACTGGGAACCAAGGTTGTCCCGGCCATCATGGAGCTATCAGGATATCACTGGGTTTGTCCTGTTGGAGGCGAACTACAACTTTTCAGTGGAGTGGAAACAGATGAGTGACCTGGGACAATGGCCTACGAATGCGTTGCCACAGGAGTGTTTGCTGACTCCTGCGCATGAGCAATAGCCTTTGTACTTCTGGTTTGTCCAAGAAGCAAAAAGGTTGATAGTGGGTGTGGTCCAGTGTGTACAACGAAGGAGAAAGCCAGCTTGGTCCAGTTTCCACTTGTGGGCCTGGGATTGCTTGCGACTGAGAAGATCTGCTAGATTGTTGTCCTGGCTGGCTATGTGTACCACCGTGAGGCAGATATGATGGGATAGGCACCATAGGTCGACTGTGAGATAAAGGAGGCTTGGAGAGTGAGTGCCTCCTTGTTTGAGAATGTAGTACATCGTGGTAGTGTTGTCAGTGGTGATTTGAACCATTTTGCCAGCAAGATGGTCTCTGAAAGCTTTGCAAGCCTTTATCACCGCTAAAAGTTCCAGCTCGTTGATATGGAGCAACTTTACTCTTTCTGACCATTGTACATGAATCTGTAGGGAATTACAATGAGCACCCCATCCTGTGAGGCTGGTGTCGGTGGTTAACCCACTGTAAGGTTTTGAGTGGAGCACCACCAGGAAAGCTGGGCGGCAAGTTCTGGGGTGACCCATAACAGAATATGAGGTAGGTCGGTTACCGGATTGAACAAAGCCAGGAACCATGCTTGGAGCGACCTCATTTTGACGCGTACATGTTCTACTACAGAGGTCACTGACGCCATAGTGCCTAAGACACGTTGCACTGTCAATGCAGGCACAAGTGCATGAGGGGTCAAGCTGCGAAGCAGGGATACCAATTTGAAATGCTTGTCTGTTGGGAGGAATGCTTGTGTGTGTTTGGAATCAATGGGTGTTCCTATGTAGTGAACTAGCCTTGTAGGCTTCAACTTGGACTTTTGTGTGTTTACAGTGAAGCCGAGATAGTGGAGAAAAGACAGTGTAAAGTGCATGTCTCATTGTGCCTTGTGACAGGAACAAGTTACAAGGAGCCAGTCATCGATGTACGGGAAAATATGAATTTTGGGAAGTCTGAGGTAAGCTCTATGGGAGCCATGCATTTGGTAAAGATGCTGGGAGCTGTTGCAAGTCAGAATGGGAGCCTTTTGAATTGATAGGCTTGGGTTCCGAGTTGGAAGCAAAGGTAAGGCCTGTGAGAGGGATGGATGGATACATGGAAATAGCCATCCCTTACATCTATGACTGTGAACCAGTCCTTCTTGCGGAGTAGGGGGAGGATGGATTTGAGGGTAACCATATGGAATTTGGTAGTAATGATGTATTGATTTAGCTGCCTGAGGTTGAGGATGGGGCAGAGGCCTCCGTCTTTTCTGGGAATGGTAAAATAACGAGAGAGAGAAATTTTGCTTGACAGATGTACTGGTTCTATGGCATCCTTGAGTAGCAGTGATTGAATTTCATCCTCTAGGATTTTTGATAGAGGTGTGATGGTATGCGATGGAAGAGGGAGCTGGTGAAACTGTGTGCAGTATCCGCTTTGGACAATGGAAAGGACCCAAGAATCTGTAGTGATGTTTTCCCATACAGGTAACTGCTTCCAAAGGGCCAGAGGAGGAATATGAGAGTGTGTTGGGATCTTGGCCGGCTGGGCATCAAACATTATGTTTGGGCTTGTGGTCATTGCACCTGGTTGTGGCTTGCTGGTGAGGTTTGGCCCGGTAAGGTTGTCGTTTGTAGTGAGGCGTGTAACATGTTTGACTTGGGGTTCATGCTGGAATTTTTGATAGGAGTTATAAGGGCGGTGCCATTGAGTGAACTGAGGACGTTGCTGGTATGTGGGGTAGACTTCCCAACATTTAGCAGCCGTTCTTTCCTTTTGGATGTTTTCGAGGATGTCATCTGTTTCTGCATTTTAAAAACCCACCCCATTGAACAGGAGATTTTCAATACGTGCACGCGCATCTTTAGCAAGGCCAGCAGTTCTTAGGAAAAACACCTAAGTGCTCCCATTCTGGCGACTGTGAAAAGATTGCTGGGATTTTGTTCTCACAGACCACTAAGCATTTAAATGGGCCTACGAGGGCCATGAAACAAACAAACAAACAAAAAAACGGTTTAGGGAAGGGGGGCTTCAGCCCGAAGGCCGGAGCAATCTTTTTCTTTCTTTCTTTTTTTTGAATACTATAACGGAGAAATAATAATGAAAGATTAAAGATTTCAAGAGTGGACTTTTGTTTTAGATAATTCACAGAAGCAACAAACGAGGCTCTCAACGCAGCAGTTGAAAGAAACTGAAGGGAGAGTGGTTGTTGTGGGTTTTTCAGGCTCTTTGGCTGTGTTCTGAAGGTTGTTCTTCCTAACGTTTCACCAGTCTCTGTGGCCAGCATCTTCAGA